TAAATGCTTTTGTGCTGCTTTAATAGTGTTGGTGTTTGCACCTGTTGGCAGTGTTTTGCTCAGTAATTCCAGCTGCTGTAGCAAATTTGGTGGCATAATGTGCCTTAATGACATGGGGAGCAGCAAACTAAAACTCCTCTGAGGAGTTTTAGTTTGCTGCCCTACAGCCACGTAGTGAAGCACTGGGCTCCATGCGGCACAGGGGCTCTGCAGGAAGCCCATGCAGGCAGCCTGACAGCAGCCCAGAAGGGCAGGCTCTGCCCAAAATCTTTTTTTTTTTTTTCCCCTGGAGCCTGCCTGCCTGCCTGAGCTGCATGGGGGCTCGGTGCTTCCCTCCATGGCTATAATGCCCCCCCGGGACTGCCCAAGCTGGGTTCCTGCAGGCGGGTGCCACCTGATGGGGGGTCCACTGCTGCTGTGGAGGGAAGCACCAGCCCCACCCCACAGCCCAGGGACTGCTCTGTTCACCGGAAGCTTGCCCTCTCCCCACCACTGGAGAGGCAAGTAAGTTCAGGTGTGTGCACGACAGGGTGGTTTAAATGGCCCTAAATTGAAGCGGTGTTTTAAAAAACTCACTGCTTCGATTTAGAGCTCCCATTTTGTCTACACACACTCATAGGCACTTGGCCAGATTCTGTTACAGAGTGATGTTAACAATGGGAACAGCATGACATGCATTTGCAAGGGCCAGCAACTGTTTATCGTACATTGAAAGCTGGAAACACACTGGCTGATTTGCGTTGGGTAATATTTAGCAATCTTGAATGATGAATGTTCAGGAAATGTTCTCTTTCTTTTCATATGGCATCAGATATCTACTTCCAAATCTATGAGCCACTGTCTGGTATTATCACTCAATGTGTGGATTCCATCTACCCCATCTGGGCATATATAAAGTTTGCAGATTTCAATTAAGTATTGTGCTGTTTGTTGGACACTGCATTCACACAGGTGGCTGTCCAAAATTTTCATCGTGTGAAGCATCTGTATCCAGATCTTAGTCTGTTCAGCTTGACCCATGGTTCTCTGCCAAGGTTGTGCCCAGTGGGAGACTCATTTAGTGTTGGTATAAAACACTGTAGGAATAGGTCTGGCTTTTCCCAGCAGTTGCTCTACTCTGTTGCTGCCCAGTTTCTTGCTGGAGCTCATGGGCTTTATCTACAAATGGTTTATGATTTTTAAGCCTCTTAAGCCTCCATCTGTTTGGGTCTCCAGTTAACAGTTGATGAAGCAGTTGATTTTTGTCATCTCTTGCCTTTTGCCAGTAATGATGTTGAGTCTGTCTTCTTATATTACTTAGTCTAATGCCTGAGAGTGCAGGGAGTATCTGTGCGTGTAGGTTTTGTAGCCTATAATGAGTCTTTGCACACTGTTAAGTACAGTGTCAGGCTTTTTAGTGTGACAACTTTGGGACCATACAGGAGGACAATATTCTGCTGGGGCATATCCCATTGCAAGTGCAGTGGTTCGGAGCACTTTGAAATTGATACCCCATGTTGTGATTGCATACACGAGGTTGGTCTGCTGCTGAGCAGAAAATTGGAGTTGGTACCCATGCTCTTATGATTTGAGACAGGCTGGGGCACTCACTCCAAATAGGGGTGGGAAAGAGTGAGGTCCCTTTTTTCAAACAGGCATACTGGTGACCAAGCAGACCATCATAGAGATTTATGAGGTCTAGTAGATGTGGCAAAGGCAAAAGGTCCCTTGGCAGCTGGAGTAGAAAAACTATGATTAGCAGAGAAAAAGCTGCTGGGGGTGAAGGATGTATGGAACTGGAGAAACAGAACCTTTTGCTCAGGACTAAAGCTAGTGGCTCAAACAGGAGAAGAGAATTTAAATATGGCAATAAAAGAGAGACATGGGGGTATGATGGTGTTAATGTTGCTTTGTGCTTCAACATAATTGAAGTACAAAGTAAAAAAATTGTATTTCAACATAATTACTTGTCTCAACCTAACTGTTAATCATAAGATAGTGTGACAAGAACTGTTTTTCACAAGTCAGCGGTTGAATGATTTGCTAGACAGAAGCATTTGAAACTAGGAGTGCACCGATAAAGATTTTATTGGCTGATACCAAGAGCCAATGACAAAATTAACCATATCAGCCAATGCCAGTCCAATAACTGATATTTAGTAATAGTGCAGGCATTTTAAACTACTGACATAAATAAACCTTTTTTGTTTGTTTTTGCATTCCACACACACGCCTGCCTCCTGCCTGCTCCGGCCCTTGATGAGGAAGGCGATGACCGTCTTATTCTCATGCATGTCATCCCCTCGCCCATGGCTTCTACCCACAGCCCCACTCCCTGCGCACCATGTGCTGTCATCCCAGTTGGGAGGGGCAAACCCTCATGCAGAAAATGGTGCCAGGCACATTTGGAGCCCCAGAGTGTGCAGCTGTATGAGCACCAGTGGGCCCCGTGCAGCCAAGCTCCTGCAGCCTCCAGGGAGAACCTGCTTTTGCAAAGGCACCCGGTGCCCAGCAGAGCAGAATGTCCCCGCATGGCACCTTACTCTGCCCATGCACAGCCCAACATCTCCACTGCAGCCCCTGCACTCAGGCCCCTGCTGTGCATGTGGCATTGGCATGGCAGTGACAGCAGCAGGAACTGGTAATGATACCATTGTTGCTGAGAGCAGCACCCTGTGACTGCTCCCCAGTGCCCTCTCTTCCTTCCTCTCCTTGCTGGGGGCTTGTAGTCTGCCACAGGCCCAGGTTGGTGTCAGGGCACAAGCACCAGACTTTGTTCACCAGGGTGCTCTGGGCATGTGGCTGTAATTATTGGTAACAACAACCAAAAAAAAGCTGATAGCCAATAATGCCATTTCTCGTTTTACTGGTGTTGATCCAATAGTCAACCGATATATTGGTGCACCACTGTTTGCAACAGTAGCAAAACATAAGGAATCAGCACACTTTTAAAAATCCCCCAGCACTAAACAATAATCTGTTACTACAAGAACTTAATTTGAATTTGCAATTTAATTAGAAGTCATACAATGACCTCTGCCTTCTGTTCAACAAGAGCCACTTTCAACAGCAGAATTTCTCTCTCGCCTGGCTATCTAATTAAAATACCAGTTAAACACTTAACCTTGTTAACCTTTAATCAATAACAGAGAAATGATGCCTTCAAATTGTTATTCAGTTCATATTGTATAGAGCAAGAGTGAAACTCTCTTTTGGTGAGGAGGGCTCTCATGTGACAAATCTACAGTACTGGGAGACATTTATCTTCTTTAGTGTGTAGCTTTCTTGATGGTAGAGAAATGGGTGAATGACCTACTAACATGCTCAAATAATCTAATACATTTTAATGACATTTTTTCAAGCAAAACACTCACATTTTTTCCTTTTCCCACCCATACTCAGTAGTTATTGCTTCACTGTGAATGAGTGTGTCAAGGTTTTAGCAGAAGTCCTTCAATTTAATTACTTGAGCCCCTGGTTACTCTAGGGTATGAACATTTGAACAACTGACTGTGGAGTGTGGGTGCAAACAATGATTTGCAGGACCCAGTTTAGGTTGCCTAAACCTATACCTGGAGTGGCACATGCAAGTATTTGCTGCTGCCTGGAGAAGTATGGGTATCCCAAGGTAAGTAACTTGCAGGGTGGGGTAGGGGCTGGTGGGATGGGGGAAGCTTGCAGGTTCACAGGAAGTGGGGGGAGGGGTTAGTGGATCTGGGGTGACTGGCAGGTCGGGAGGGAGGGGTGGCCTGGTTGGGGGCAGGGTAGTCAGGGTGTTAAAAATAGTCCATTCAGGGTCAGGTGGGGTAGGAATAGCACAGCCTTCAGGCTGCGGTGAGTGGATGGGCTTTTCCAACCCCAGGTCTGTGCTGTAAATGTATGTTGGCATTCACTGGATTAGGTTAACCAATGTCAATATAAAGTTATTTCATCTCCTGAGGTGAACTAATTTAGATTAGATGTACCATTTTGGGGGCAATTTAAGCTCTGGAAACACCTGCGTGACTGGGCATTTAGATTGATCTGACCTTGGTTAATCTAAGATTTTTCCACACAGTTTTTCATGCAGGGGTTCTCTGACAATTGCTTGTGTAGATGCCTTTGTCTTTGTGGTATGTAGAAGCTAAATTGGTATAAGTTCCTTCTCTTTTATTAAAGGTTCTAGACATTAGATCATGTTGGTCTAAGAAAGCCACTTACTTGATCCAGATTGCATTGCATTACCCCAACTGTGCATGACAACTTCAAGGTCAACTGCTTAGAATTTCCTTGCATAGGAAAATTCCCCAGAAAGTGCACAGTTGGCATATATAGCTTCCCACCACTAGCTGCCATGGCTGAGGACCAGGGGCAGATCCACAGCAAGTACAGTGGTATGGTTGCACCTCCTTTGGGCTGTGCTGCATGTGAGCTCTTTGCACAGGTTCAATGAAGAGCCCATGCTTTCACACACCTTCAAGCCCAAGGGATAGCTCTGTTGCTGCCATTCATCCCCTTCTTCCCTCTTTTGTGGGTTCTGGAGTTCTGGAGCTGCATGAGAGCAGGGCTGCTGGGTGGGCCTGCTCTGACCAATTTGTGAGCTCAGAGCTCACCACTCATACATAGTTCAGGCAAGAGCCCTCACTGATTGGGCAGTGAGCTTAGAGCTCACTGTGCATGTATAGCTAGATAAGCATGGCAAAGCCAAAGCGGGGTGGGAGGAGGGGGTGGTGCTGGTGCGTGCAGCCCTTTTTGCTCTGTACCTGGATCCACTGCTGCTGAAGAAGGTGATGGTGGCTAGAGCGCTGCTACAGTCATGTGATCTGACCATCTGTGGAATGGCTCCTTAGAAGCTGTGGAAGCTGATTAGAAACCCTTCAGTAGCATGTTTGGAATATGTAAGTTCCCCTTAGACAGATTTTCCTGATCACCTGTTTAAGAAGGTATTTGGAGAATCAGAATGCAACTACTCTGCATGGTCAAGCCTCCTTTACCTTTCTCCCTTTTATCTTTGCATACACCTGCCTTCTGCTTACTGCCAGATCCATTTCAGCTCTGCTGCTGTCACCATCAAACACCTTTCACAGCCCAAGAGGGACCAGCATCTTCAACATAACAGCAATACTGGTGATGCACAAAATAAACCTGAATATAAGAAAATTATTTCTTACTCTCATCTTGCTAGGTATGTCATGCGTTACTTGTGACTATCAAAAAGATCCACATTTTTCAGCTAGAACCATGAGTTTTACAAACTTCCTTTGAAGATTTTAGACAACTTATTTTTTTCCATAATAAAAATATCTATATAATGCAAGACTTTTCATAGTTAGCATATTCCATGGCTAGTCTGCTGCTGTGTTTTACATTTAATGCTGGTGCAGCTCCATTGAAATCAATCAAGAAGCAGAGGTGTCAAAGTGTTGAAATAGAATGGTAAATCAAGACCTGTGTTTGGAAACTAATCATAATAACAAAACCAGCAGTATCACTATGTAGACATCCTAGTCAGAACCAAAAAAAATCTTCCAGCTTAGAATCTGTTTCCGAAAATGCCAGATCAGCATTCTTGAGAGGGATGTAGGGCCCCATCCAAAGCTCAGTGGGAATCTTTCCACTGTTTATAACAGATTTTGGATCAGGCCTGTGGGTTTCACAGTGTATCCCATTATTAGGACATACTCTATGAGTTGCCCCATCTTAAATGACTCTTGAAAAATTCTAATATCAGTGTCTCTATCATTATCCTAGCTATCCATCCATCACAATAGTGTCAGAGTGCACTGTTGCTAACACATTTTTGTTACTGTCTTTCTCCTATACAAAGATACCAACAAAGTTAAGAAACTGCTTGCATTTAAAGGTTGATCCCACCAGCAATCTTACTCTGATGTAACAATAATAAGAGTTCACCCTTTTTCTACTTGCAGACTGAGCCAGCATGTTTTCTTTGAGATTGCACAGACACAATACTTCTATTGGCAATATAGTAAAAGGCAAATACAGACCCAGAAACAAAGTTTCACAGCAAACACCCTTACAAGTGCTGTAGCCATCAGCTTTCCCTTTTCCACAGAAAAAAGGAATCTTCAAGATGTCAAGCATACTTTTATGCTTTTGTCTTTTAGAGTGAAGTTGGCTTCTTTGCAAGGGAATACAAATTGTATCTCTCTGCTGCATAGTGACCAAGGAATTTCTTCATGGAGAGATTTCCACTGAGAATGTTTGTGTTCAGAGCTGAGTTTAATTGGATAGAAGAGTTGTTCTCTTTTGCTGTAATATGTTTCAGGGAGATAATTATTTCTTTGGCCTTATTGTTTCTGGATTTCTTGGGATAAGCACAAACATGAAACATTTAGCAGCATATTGTCAGTAACCTAAGTAACCTTAGTAAGCTGGGCTTTGGACTTCATTATTATTATTTTTTTTAGAGTTCTTATTTTCTAACAGCCACATTCAATCTTTATTAAAGCCTTTCTAATTGATTCACATCATGGCCTCTTGTTTATTATGAACTAAAAAATAAAGACTATTAATTCTGAAGTGATTGATGAAATCTGTCAAAAACTTACTAGCCAAATACTGTCTCCCTGTTTTGGTGTATAAAGACCCTTTCCATAGTCTATGATTATTAGTAGGGCTGTGCAAAGCTTCGGTCACTGATTTGATTCGGCAGACTTTTGGCTTGATTTGGTGGCTGAATCTCCAAATCCAAATTGAATCAGGGGACCCTTTAATCTCTCTGAATCACATCAGAACCCTCTGAATTGATTCAGAGAGATTTGGAAAGATTCAATGATTCAGACAGACACAGCTTTACACATTTTTTCTACACACCTCAAGGTACCACACAGTTTGTGAATACTGAGATGGTGGGGCAGATGGAGCATCCCACAGGAGCGTTGGGGGGTGGGGAAGGGGGAGTCCCCAGCATGCTCGGCAGCAGACCCAGAAGTGGACAAGAAGCACTTCCTGTCTACTTCCGGGTCTGCAGGGGAGCACGCTTGGGGTCCTCCCTGTGCCCCCCCCCCCCCCCCGGCTCGGTGACTGGTGCATCCAGGGCGCCCTTGTGGCCAAGCAGGGGAGGGCACAGGGGAGCCCCCCAGCATGCGTGGTGGCGGACCCAGACGTGGACTGGAAGTACTTCTGGTTCACTTCTGGGTTTACCGCTGAGCATGTGGGCGGCCCCCCCATGCTCCTGTGGGATGCTCCATCCACCCCACCATCGCAGCATTCACAAGCCGTGCCTGGTATCTCGAGGTATGTAGAAAAAACTTTAAAAGCTGTGTCTATGGCCGAATCACTGATTCTCCAAATCAGCATTGAATCTACAGATTCAGATTCAGCCGAATCAAATCGGGACAGCGATCTGAATCAATGAATCCAATCACTGTCTCTAATTCGGGCCGAATCTGAATCCGAATCAAATACGGCCCATTTAACACATCCCTAATTATTAGTGTAGAAGAGGTTCCGTGATATATTTGCTGAAATGTATCTATGGCATGGGAAAACTGGCATGCTGTGAAATTGTTCTGCTACACTCAATTTTCTACTCATGATGCCAGAAGTGCTCTGGAATTTTGTAAAAGATTTTGAATTTTATATGATGTGCTTAATCTGACTTGCAAGCACTCTTTGTACATCTGAAAAAGCTACATGTAATAAGATAAACTTCACAATATGTTTTATCAACAAGAACTTTGATTTGCTCAAACACTTGTAATCCTTAACTATTTCTTTCTCTATAGGTTTTCAATGAATATAGAGGGAAAATTGCATTTATCCATGGTATATTCCATTTTACAAATTTCATGGCATGCAAAACCTGTGCATGGCATGGTTTCAGAATATGAACATTTTTAGTTTGTACTCCCCAAACTGGCTGTCACAAAGAGATATTAATAACAGAAAGACACTGCTAGATCATTTTGTAAATTATAGATAATGAAGAGTATTCAGATTTCACAATAAATAGCAAAGATCCTAGCATCTGGCAGGATTTACATATGGTGTTGTAATATTTTCCCATAATCTGGTAGATTGTAAAGCATTATACAGCTTCAATTTTTATCCTATTCAGTTTATGAAGCTGCAAGCAGGCCAAGACCAGGCCTTTGGGCATTGCTGTCTTTGGTCAGCATTACATGCCCATATGAACGATTTAGCTTCAGTTGTCCTGGGGGAAGAGAAATCAGCTTTGAAGATGCTGTTCCCCTGTCTCCTTGCTGTTGAAGATCACTTTTTTTTTCACACTCAACAACTACTCAAACCAAGTAGAATTCTGTGCTCTTTCAAGATCATACTGTGAAAAGTATGCTGCCTTTCCCTGGGGAGCCCCATGCTGGGCACATGTCCCCTACCCACCTGACAGCAGTAGGGGGCACAACTCCACACCAACATTGTCACCTCTGTTGCTGGGTGGGAAGGGGTTGTATCGCCATGGTGGCAAGGGGCTCCCAGGGGAAGGGCAGCAGGGCAGGGAGCCCTGAGCCCAAAGTGGGCAGCCCACATCCAGCCCCAACCCAAGTACAAAACTGGGAGGCACATGCCCCCCCCATATCCCCCTCCGAGGGGGGGTTCATGCAGTGGCAGGGAGCTGCCCTTCCTTATGCTCCCTGGACTAGCCACCCGTGGCTCTGTCCCACTTCCTGCCTGGGCCCCAGAGCTCCATGCACTGCCCTGGGTGGGCAGCATCCCCAGCCTCAGCCCCTGCCCCACTCCCTCACCATGGGGGCCTCAATCTGCTCCCATGCACACCCTCTACCCTTCATAGACTTACATGCAGGGAGCTGCTTTCCATGCTATGCAGCTTTTTCCCAGCCACATGCATGTGTGTGGGCATGCATGTGCACATGGTGCCACCTGTGTCCTGCTCCCACCACCC